TGGGGGGCGGGTGCTGCCCCGGAGGCGAGTCCCCGGGACGAACGTGCCGGAGACCGACCCGGACTGGGGTCTCGTACCGGCACCGCCCGCCCCGCGAGGTCTGGGGACAGCTCGCGCGCTCGCACGGACAGCGGCCTGCAGGGCGTCCGGGGCAGGTGCAGGCAGGGGAAAAGAACCAAACAAAAACAAACAAAAGGTCCCCAGCAAAACCCGAAACAAGCAAAACCGCCACCGTTTTTCGTCGTCCCTCAGTTGGCGTTGGAGAGCTGAGCCAGCGCTGTGTTGAGGGGGAGATTCAGCCATGGAATCTAAAGGCCATAAACGGCTTCTGACAATTTTTGCCTGTGGTATGTAATTCTCCCATGTTAATCTGAACATGTGAGAACATACACCTTTTTTGGTGAGATTTTCCCTTGGAAACCTTGTTGCAGAAGACTTTGATGATCTTGGCTGTGCCCAGAGCTGGATGTGTGTGATACAGAAGCTGAAGTTCCTTCTAGGAGCCCTTGTACTGTAGCTGTGGCACAGAATGTCAGAGCTCTTATGTGGTGGGCAGCAGGACCGGTCGTTTGCATATAGGAACTGTTGGGCAGGTCGGTCTGGTGCATCTTTAAACTGAAAGAGGGTAGATGTAGGTTGGACATGAAGAAGACATTTTTCCCTCTGAGGGTGGTGAGGCTCTGGAACAGGTTGCCCAGAGAAGCTGTGGATGCCCCATCATGGGCAATGTTCAAGGTCAGATTGGACGGGGCCTTGAGCAGCCTGATCTAGTGAAGGATGTCCCTGCTTATGAGAGTGGTACTGGATCTCTGAAGCTCCCTTCTGACCCAAACCATTTTGTGTCTTCAGAGGCAGCGTACCTGGGGTTTATGTGCTTTATAGTGGTGCGTTAACAAGTCGGAATTGGTGCACAGTCTGTGGGTTGTGTTTCAGTTTCTCTGCATTAACAATACCCGTTTGCTGAGGACATCAATCTCTTAACTCAGCGTATCCCCGCGATCACTTCCGGCTAGCACAAGGTTGCCTGCTGTGGATGTTTGTGGTGCGACCTCACTGGGGGACAACATCCAGCTTAAAAATAAACCTAGGGAAAAGCTTAGTTTTTTATTTGACTTCATTGTTCTCTGAAAATTGTGTGACCTCAAGGAGGATGGGAGACTTCAGAGGGCCCCAGAGCAGAACTGGTTTGTGTTGGTTTCAAGTACCTGTGATGCTGTACTTACACAGTAGGATCACGGTAACTTGCTTCAGAGTGGGAGTTCACAAAAGATCCTGGTGGTGCAACATTTGCTCGACAGTGTGAAAAACTGAGTGTGCTGGACAGGATGGAATGTAAATATTTGAAAGAGAAGATCATGGAGTGTGTTAGTGTTTTGCTGAATTTAGGCTTTTCCTATACACGGGCTTCCCAATGCCACTTGGAATCATGCCCATTATAGCCCTTTCTTAATGACCGAATTTAGACTGTGAAGATTTGTTCTTTTGATGAGAAATGCGACTTGCTTCTGTCATCTCATGGTAGAAGCTGACCTGTAGCATGTTGGAGATACATGAGCTGCTTTCTTTTTATTTTTCCCATGGCTGCATATTGTAAGAAGTGTTTTTTTCCTTTCCAACAGGTAGGGAAATTCACAGCAATATACAAAGCTTTCTTATGTTTGAAAAAAACTTGGTTTATTAAACTGGGAGATGCATCCCTTCTAGATTATTCCTTGGGGTTTCCGTGTTCCTTTAAGTTGGAACGAGTCTTTTTAGCTGGTAATATTTATTTTTACTGGCAAACAGAATGAAATATATATGGCAATAATTGTTTGTTGATTGGTTTTTTTTTGGTCTTGTGTTAAGCCACTAGTGTGAGTGTCCTTGGAGCAGAGGCCTTTTCTTTGAGCTGTAAGCAATTTTTTGCTTGCAATGTTTGTTTTAGTAGTGAGACTTACAGACATCTTCAGAGTGTTTATCCTCTGTTCTGCTTTTTACAGGTGGAGTATAGAGAGATGGATGAGAGTCTTGCAAACCTGTCAGAAGATGAATATTACTCTGAAGAAGAGAGAAATGCTAAAGCTGAGAAAGAGAAAAAACTACCACCACCACCTCCCCCAGCTCCTGCAGAAGAAGAGAATGAAAGTGAGCCAGAGGAGCCATCTGGTGAGTAGAGAGACCTTCTCCCCTGACACTGCTTACCTTTTTTATTGCCAGAAATTAAACAGGGTTGGGTGCAGCATCATGAATCCTGTGTCTGATTTTGATCTGGTTTTGAATGATTGTTCTGTAGTTCATCCCATACGTGGAAAGAGGGGAAATCCACAGAAGAGCAGCCTGATAAAGATGGGAGTATGTATGATACAATTCCAGACTAAGGCAAACTTCTGATACTAGATCCTCATGACCCTCATTGACTTGTCTTTTGAAGTTTATTGACCTGAAGAGACTCTTTGGCACTTAGCTGCCACACCTGCTTGTGTACCAACATTCACTTATTTCTCTGAGAGAAAAGAGGTTAGATGTACTGGGGGAGTTGCTGTGCAGGAGAACGGATTTAGTCTACAGTGAATCCTGTGGCTTTAAACTATTACTCTAATCTTAAGTTCTGGTTGGATACTGTTTGCTTAAACTTCTTTCCTCATTACCTTTGACGGAGTTGTAAAGCTTTGCTTTGCGTTGGAAAGTGTTTTGGTCAGCCTTGTTCAGGAAGCAGCTTTTGAAATTTATGGTATTAGCAGTACCCTGTCTGTTCTTTACCTCTGTGGTGTTTACAGCCACCACCGTTAGTTAAGTCTGGTGTTAGTGTGTTGCTCACCAGCCCGGGCTGCAGCTCCAAGGATGCCGTTGCATCTTCCGCAGCCAGGAGGAAATGGCCCGCCTCTTGTAGGCAGGGTCTCAACCTTAGTTAATTAGTTAATTACATTCAGTTCCAATTCAAGCCAGCTGGGTAATAATAATTGGATGCCAATTATTGGATACACAATTAGTGTATCATTGTGCTGTCTACAAAATCATGCTTATGCAAAGTTTAGCTGTCAGAGAGGTTTCATGAGGTGATATGTGAGCTGCTTGGGTTTGGATGATAGCTGAAGTGTAGTAGTTGAACTTTTGCTGGTTCATGACTGATGTGAGTAACTGTCAGTCTTGAGTTGTACTGCTCTTATTGGTTTCTTTTTGGCTGACAGGTTTGGGAATGTCAACAACAGGACTGACATCAGTTTGGGTATACTTGCCCTCAGTTTCAGAAAATATATTAAAAGCCACAGTTGTGTTTTATCTCTTGGGGTTTGCCCCTGTAATCTCTCCTCAGTTGCAGCTGTTGGCTCCTGGCTTGGTACAGGAATACTGTAGCTCATACTCTTGACTGAAATACTTGCAATGCTGAAATCTTCCCCAATCCTAGTTTAGCTGAGCTATCAAAAATGGAATTTTAACAGGTATAATTAAGCAAGTATCTTAAGCTTACTGTGTAATTAAGCTTAGACTCTAGGTTTAATCCTTGAGACATAGTATTAATACACTTTTGATATTTCTCAGATGCCATTTTGTGACTCTAAGAGTGATTATTGAAGTCAGTTTGAGGCCTGATCAGTGAAGTACAGTGTTTTATCCCGTGAGGAAAGAAACATGGAAGTTAGGCAGTGCTAGACTTGTGCTATTCTGTACACACAACAGTTTGTTAAGCAGCTACTCTGCAAGCACTATATTTAGTTGTCTAAATATAACCAATTTTTAAACAGGCTGTATCTACATGATTAGAAATAAGTAGATTTCAGGTCGTCATATCCTTTCTCCATTCCTAGAAATCCTGTGATAGTCAAGAAGCTGTGATGGAGGAAGACAACAAATTTTTAGTTATCATTCCATAGCTAGTCTTGCCGTGTTTTTAAAGGCTTCTGAAACTGTGCACATTGGTGGATCTTGTTATCTTTGTCCTTATTAATGCAGGTGTCAAGAACATCAGGTCATCTTAAACATCATGGCTGTTAAAGTGACTTGAAACTTCTAATTCAAACACCCGTTAGCAGGAGGAGGCCTGGAGTCTGCTGTGTGTAGCAGCAATGATTGTAGTTGAGATTTCCTCCCTCTGTCACTTCTTTGAAGCAAAAATAAGTGTTCAATAAGGCATATTAAATAGGACAGTAATACTAGAGCAAGATTACATGTTGAAAAATCAACAGAATACAAAAAGTTCACGTGTGTATTACTGTTAGTTTACTCTCATTGCAGACCTTAAGTGTGTTTAAAGGCTGCAAAAACTCAGGGAATGCAGTAGAGGTGCAAAGCTGTCATTGTGTGGGTTGTGACCTTGTGCGTGGAAAGCCTCATTATGCAGGCGTAAAAATGCAATAGTGACAGTAGCTGATGCTTCCTTAGCGTGTCCCTAAAGACAGTTTGCAGTCAAAGGAAGTTACTGAGTATCACACTTCAGGTGACAGGGAAATGCTGGTCTTACTAGGGGTGAGATCCATTAATGCATTCAGCTGTGGGGAATTCCAGATGTTTTGGCTGTGCAGATTGTTATAGTCTGGATGTGCAAGATATACTGCATGTTGTTGCAGAGCAGTTTTAAAAGGCTTAACAGTTTTAAATGATTAAGATAATTTCTTTAAAGCACCTCTCCTCTTTGTTGCTATCAGACAATATTTCTCAAGTAAAAATGTTTTCAGTGCTGAATGACGTTTGTGTTCTTGGCTGCCAATATCCCTTTTGAAATTAAGGAGCTTGCTGCTTTCGTTTTTCTTCTCTAAGGATCTTTATCGTTTGCCCTCACCAAACTGGATTTTCATTTTTATAGTTTCCTGAAGATTTTCTTTACCAGCTCCTGTCTTTTTCATTTTGTCAGTATTCTTAATTTGTGGTAGTCTTGTGTTTCTAGCTGCTGTTTTCCAAGAAGCGTGAGATTTAATGCGATCCAGATTAACGTCAAGGGAATAGTCAAACTTAGCGGTGCTCTGTCTCTGTCTTTCATCTGGCTTCTCTGTTTTCCTAATTAAATTCAGTACTCAGTGGTAATTGTGTGCCGCTGGTCTTTATTTTAAGACAGTGGGTGGTTGTATGAAGTGGACTCCTTTGCAGACCACCTTCCTGGCTGCTGTTCAGCCCACAGTCTGTTGTTCTGTTGCCTTGAGACGTTCGGCAGATTGCGCGGCTGCGCGTGTTGCGTTCCCCTGCGCTAGTCTGATGTTGGCGTGGGTCAGCGGTTTGCTCGCCGCCTTGTCCCTGGGCAGCAGGAACGTGGCTTTCCCGTGGGAGGGGAGGCAGCCTGCACCAGCAGGCCTGGCTGCCACCCTGCTGGGCTCGCACTGGGCGGCGTTTAGAACTGTGTCTGAGCGAGCAGTAATAGTGACGCGCTTTTTGCACCTGGCATTGAAAATGGTTTAACTGTTATTAACAGAAGAGGAAAAAATTGATTTTTATGAGTAAACTGAGAGGAATTTTTTTCCCTCTGCTTGTCTGTGTGGATTCAGGGATAATGAATGCCAGAGGCTGATGTTAGCGTCTTTTCAATTTCTGAACTTACGGAAGGCACAAGTGTAACTTTTCCTGTAAATTAATGGTCTATACTGGAATGTAAATATTAATGTTCGAGTGGTGTTAGTCTCCCAGAATGGAAGCAGATCTAGTAATGTTCCTAGCAAAACATAGCACTTACAGTGTAGGCCAAGTGAGGAATTTTCTCTTGCTATTGCAGATGCCTTAGTTCATGGAATCCCGACTTGGGGGCTTCTGAGGCCTGTCAAAATACAGTTGTTTGCCACAGTCTCTCTTGTGGGTTTCTGAACTTCACTGCTGGCACACCGATTATATAAAAGTACTGACTATTGCTTCTCTACTGTAACTGAGAGAAAATGTCTTTCTTGTTTCAGTTCGTATTTTATCCATAGATATGTAATGTTACAACATTCTGGATGTTTCAAAGCATGGCAACATTTGGTTCCCTCTCTGTGTCTTGCTTTAGGGGTTAAATTTGTAGTTCAGATGAAACTCTTTTAAGTTAGCGTATCCCCTAAGAGCCTCAAATTACATTTTGGCAAAATTGTCCACCCAACCTCAAACACTGAACAGTGCTCTGAACAATTGTATGCTCGGCCTCAGGTTAGACCTTACTCTTGCCTGTTTGGAGAGGACACCTTGAGCAGTTGTGCTGTAAGAAGTGACCGTTCCATTTGCTGCCGTGACCTCAGCAGTTTGTTTCAGTGGGGGTTTGTTTGGACTTTAGAAAAACACCCCATTTGCTGACTGTCGAAGCCTTGGTTAGAAGGAGCCTTGGTACAGCAGCAGGTAGCCCAACAGCACTCGACCATCTCTGTGTTCCACAGGTTCCTGCTCTCTGGAGGTGGCATGACTTTAGGCAAACGTCTGACTGTGAAATAATGTCACTCACAAGCTAAACTTGGAGCTGGTGTCTCCTGTGAAGGTTAGCAGTGTGTCGGGTGACCTGTATTAGCTTTGTCCCTGCAGACATCGCAGCTGTACGCATCTGTTCTAGAAATGCTCTGTTTCTGGTTGTGTGGTAGTCATGTCAAGGCTGCTGTTTAGGATTTACATGCAGGCTAAGGTAATTTTGAGACTTCTTTGCATCTTTCAGATGAGTGCTTTGCCTTTCCTCCTGTTTCCAGCCCTGGATACATTGAAAGACCAATGTCTTTCAGTGCTGGGTATTGATCCCATTACTGATCAATGGCGTTCCCATGTAATTGGCTTCAAAGTTGGTCTTAGTGTGTTAAACGTTGTTGGAGTATCAAGGGCACTGAAGCCAAAATAAGTGGTCTGAGCCTTTCAAAAAACAGTTCTATCATCAAGCTTCAAGGAAGGATTTATGGCAAAAAAATAAGAATAGACTCTCTTGAAAGTAAGAGGCTTTTCGGAATGGTTCGAACTATCCTTTTGCATATGGGGAGACTCGGCAGTACCAAGGGCAAGGTTATCAAATCCATGAAATCTGATGGTATCCATCCACCAGATCTTGGCAGTAAGAAATGTAATCTTATTATTCAAATCCTAGCCATTAATGGAGTTGATGCAAGTATTTCGCCACCAGGAATGCTGCATACTGTACACTTCTTTATTTCCCGTAAAGTCTGTCATAAAGCGTTCCAATAACATGGATAACACTTTAGAAGACCAGAGAGCTTGGTGCCCTGAACCTAGGTTCCAGAAGATGGGATTCTCAGCAAATGGGTGTAGTTAGTTGGTGAAATTTAATACCTAAAACGCCAACTGCCAGGCCTTTATGTCCAGTATGGTTTAACTTATGGAGTAAGGTCCCTGAGTTCTCCTCTTTCCTTCCACAGGGCAAGCAGGAGGACTTCAAGACGACAATTCTGGAGGGTATGGAGACGGCCAAGCATCAGGTGAGGGTGGCGTTTGATGCTTGCCACTTAGTAGCAAGAGCCGCCAAGCCAGGGGTTGATGCTTGCAAGTACGCATGGTTGTGGTTGTCCGGAACTTAGCAAGGGATACAGGAGTGGTTTACCTGCCTGTTAAAAAAGTGAGGGGTGTTTTCAAATTTCAGTTGAGGTCTGTATACTGTGGAAAAGGACACTAACCTCTGTTGAAATGCCTCAGGCCGATCTCTCATCCCTCCGCTCCTCTCCATGTTTAGAGGAGTCCAAACTCTGACTAGCCAGTTTCTACCACCCAGAATGACACAGAAAGCCCTGGGCTTCAGCACAGTAGACCTTTTTTTCCAAATTGCTGAAGAAGCATAGCATGGAGTACCTTTTTGCTCCTTTGTTTTTATTTTTTCTTTTGAAAGGGTTTGTGTTTGGGCTGTGTGCCAGTGGTTAGCCCAGGAGATTTATCTGTTGGGGAGATTCATAGTCTGCTTCTCAGTGGCCTGGATTGTGACTTGCATTCGCCTTTGACCTAAGTTCTGATGCACTTACTGCTCAATTCACAGCGTTGGTGTCTTTACTCTCACGTACCTGGAGTGCTACTGAAAATCTTCCTCCAACTCTGCCACATTCACTGTCACCTGAGGACAGGATTAGGGTGTTAAACAGAGGAGTTGAAGGCTCCAGAACCTGTTCTGTACCTCCAAGTTGCTCTTTTTGAAGCAAATACGTCAAGATACTCATCCAAGAGTGCTGTTCTGAGTAAAAGTACCTAGTTATGTTTTAGATATTGCCACTTGCACAGAATTTTGGACTATTACAGATCATGGGCTTAAGGTTGCATTGCCTGTTTCATTTTTAGGCAGGCACTGGCTGTTTGGAAATTCTGCATATTTTGCATTTTATCTGTATGCTATGGTTGTGCTTTAGCAGTTGTATGATTCAGCAGCCAAAAAACTTTCATTCTGAGTGTTTTTCATCTGCATATGTTTCAGTAAGTCTTTAAATGAGCAGCATCCCTCAAGATTTCTTCTATGGGGATGAAGATTATCAGAACTTCAGCACCTTAGCTGCTGATGCTGATTGTCAGGAAGTGGCAAGCGTGGTGTGTGGGTGTATGTGTGTGGGTGAATGTGTGTGGAGAGGAGATTCCAGTATAGGCAGAGCCATTCCTACAGTCATTGAAGAGTTGCCTGCTCCAAGGAAAGTGTGTGTAGTTCTGAACTGGTACTCCCTTTAGTGTTCTGCTTTCATGAAACACAAGCAGTAAGTGTGTGGGGTGGAGGGGATTTAATCAGCCTGAAATTGCTTTAACTTTGAGCTGTGTAGTTGCAGAAGAAAATTCAAAGACATTCAGATCTTACAAGATGTTCTGGTGGTTGGGCCAAATAAAATGATATCTTCACTAATAATAGCTAGGCTTTTTCTAAATTCTGGTGTCAAACCCTGTCGTGGTTTGTTTTGTTTTCTAAATACCTCTGATCCAGACATATAACGTGTTAAAGTTTGAGTATTGCCATGAAAGACACGTGGCCTTAAAAAAAACAGCAACAAAAACCCCCACCTTGGAGTTCTTTCCAAGGCTATTAAGAGCACCAGTTTCTCTGGCTTCTCAACCTGAAGAAATAAATTGCAAAGCTTTTCAAGAAACTGGCGAGTTGCCTTAAATCCATGTGTCTGAGAGTTTCCTGGTAGTTGATTACTGCATGATGGTCAACACTTCTTAGCAAATATCTGGAGAAGGCACGCTCGTTTTAGCGTAAGCCTGTAAGAGGGAGTCAGGTTCATCATTTTGGATCTTTAACTGGCCATTCTCTGAAAATTGTGCTGCTGAGCTTTTTGCTAACACTCGATGATCTAGAAGCTTCATTAAGATTTGTTAACATTAATAAAGTGTGAGAGAATTTGTAACTTTGGTTTGATTATGTGCACAGTTTTATGGAGTTCATAGTTTAGCATATGCATTCATATGTAAATGTTTGCAGAGTTGGTCCAGTGTTAGACTGAAGGACAGAAGAAGGGTTGGGGGATGTTTATTACTGGAGAAGCTGAAGTTCTAGCACAGCTATGGGTTTCTATTCCATAGCTGAATATTGGTGTCAAGAAACTTGTGGGTTTGTCAACTTTTCCTATTGTTAATTTCATTTTACTTTCTGGCAGTGCACTGTAGCCTCTGTTACTAATTTGCTCTTGTAAAATTCCTGTAAATGATTATAGACTGTTTTCTTGAGTCATCATGCAGTTAGATCTAATCTTTGCTTGTGAATGAATTTTGTTAGTTTCACAACTGTTTCCTTGCTCTAAATTTTTTTCTTCACCTTTGGGATGTAAAAATGCTTGGCAGTTAGAGGTGTGTGTGTTTGCACCAGAGTTGAAAGAAGACCATTCCTCTCCCCAATACAGTGACATGTGTGCCTCTGCACATGACTTTCAAACTTTCAAACAGTAACCTCTTGGCTAGTGTAACACATTGCAAGCTTATGTTTTCTTTGATATTTATTATAATCTTTTGAACAATTCCAGTTTCAGCAAATGATGTTAATCTTGCTGCATTATTAGTGTTTTTTTTCCCCTTGGGATGTACTGGCTTATATCTTTCCAGATTGAACGTCCTCTCCTCTGTCTGTCCTGATTTTGGGTCACTTCCTAGGTCATACGAGATTTACATTGTTCTTGCTGTATTTCACACCTCAGTGTTTGGTTTTGCTCGCTGTGCCTGCAGGATTCGCTTTCTGCGCTCTGCTTGTGCTACAGCACTTCATGCAGCCCTGGCTTCATTTGTTACTTTTTATATAGTTTAACATTCCAAAGAAATGGAGGAATGTAGGGTGCATAACTTGTGTTATTACATCCTTGCCGGTGTTTGAAGGCGCCTTTATGGATGAAGTCTTTCCGTAGAGAAAACGTCTCCTGTGTACGTTCAGCATGAACCTTTTACGTGCGGAGCGGGTTGGTTGTAGGCAGCACCTGGGGAGGGGAGACGGGAGAAGCATTAGCAGGATTGTATTTCACTGCACTGCCTGTTGTGGATGTATGAAATACGCAGAAGGAGAGGTTAAGCTGGTTTCCTCTAGCTTGAGAAGTGCCGTGCAAGTGAAACCTTGGGCAGCAGGTGAGGGGGGGCCATAAGCGTTGTGCTTGTACCCCATAGGTCTTCTGGCTTTGAACGGGTTCCAGAATGTTTTTCGTACTCTGGTAGAACCTGGAAACCACACAAACGAAGGACAGAATCTAAAGCAGTTATGTTTTATTGATATTATGTATGTGTTATATATACTATAATATTATGTTTTATATTGATATGTGTCCCTGCCCCCCTTATATTTCAGGGGCGTTTTGTTTGTCGTACCCCTTCCCCCATAGTATGGCCTTTTTGTTAACCCTAGATGACACCTGTAATTCAAAGAACTGTTGGTTTGGGAAGCTGCGTGTCTTGCAAAAATAAATAAAAGGACTACATGAGAGCCTGACACGAAATTGGCTGCCATACCACCTCATGGCTAGGTGCGTTGGCTAGGAAGGGTAGTGTGGAAATACTTCTTTAGCGGTTCTTTTTGCATTGCCTGTAGACAACTTGTCTTTTTATTGTAGGTGTGGAGGGAGCAGCTTTCCAGAGTAGACTTCCACATGACCGTATGACATCTCAAGAAGCTGCCTGCTTCCCTGATATAATCAGTGGGCCACAGCAGACTCAGAAGGTGTTTCTGTACATCAGGAACCGCACCGTAAGTTTATTGTAAAAGTATTGATGAAGAAAGGGTAGGACATTTATGTACCTTGCAAAGACTTATGGCAGTTACCATGTCCAACGGTAGATCTTTAGGTTTTGAGATGGTGTGGTTTCATTTCTGACATCCTATCATGCTCTGCGTGCTCAGGAAGGTGTTACCAGTTCTTGACTGAGACAATGCTGTCAGGCAGCATAAAGAATCTGTAGTATGTTTACAATGTCCAAAACATGGTCCTAACAACCATGAAAACTACATGATTCAGCTAATACAACTTTAAAAAAGTAAACAAACAGAAAACTGGTGCAAGTGTTCATTTATTTTTTACGCTTAAAGAAGTCTCTGTAGAATACTTAAAAAATAATATTCAGTCAAATACACTGTTGCTTAGAATAAGGCAAAGCCTCTCAGCTTTTTATTTTTTTTGCTTTGCTTAGCATTCAGTTGCTGTAATACTGAGACATCAAGCCAGTCATGTGGCTTATTCTCAGAACAGAATAGTTGCTTTGCCAGCTTTGATTTTGTAAAAGAAATTGTAACGTTGAAGAAATGAAATTTTGCTTCTGAATGTTTGTAGCATTTCTGCCTAATTGAAAACTTACTTCCATGCTACTTAAAATATAGAAAGAAGGGGCGATATTCAAATAATTCCTTGGGGAGTTCATTCACTTGAGTTCAGGCAAGCGTGCCTGAAGTTTAAGCATTAAGAAAACTTAAAACTGTAGTATTGTGTTTTGCAGATGATGCTTTTAAATTGTGACAATGCTTTTAGGTTCCTTAGCACATAAAGAGGGCTCAGGGCTTTCTCCTGTACTTAGAAAAGAGTCTTTTAGAAAACTTAAGTCATGTTAGAAAAATGAACAGTAGGAAAGCAAGAAGTATTTTGGAAATCGGTTTATTACCATAGTTAAGAGAGAAAACAATTTATGCACCATTCAGTTCTTTTCACGGACTTAAGCTGATCAAAGGGTGTCCCAGTGTATTAACCATGGTAGCACTCAATTCTTAATAACTTAAATAAGTTATTTGAAATTTGTGCATGGTGGACATCTTCATGCTAAGAGCGTGACTTTTGCTATTCCTGTGAAATCTCCATCTAATTAACCTATTTGTAACTTTTGGGAAGTCATGAGATGTTTTCTTGGAAGAGAAATTGAAACAGAATAATCTAAATTCCAGTTGCATAAAAACAAACTAAGGCAAGTCAAAAAGTTTGAAAAACAGCTTGCTCAAAATGTATAGCGAGTAATCCTTTTACAAACACTTAGAAGCAGAAAAGCCTTCCATTGAAACTAATAAACGACTGGGATTTAAAGGATTGCTTGGAAGGGGTATTAGCAGGGCTGCATTTGAAAAGCTGCATTGTTGGTCTTCAGTCCTTATTTGCTACGGAGGAATTCAGAGAAGTTCCTAAGCAGGAGTCCTGTTCCAAGGAAGACTCGTGAGATGATCTCCTCGGATCAGGATAGCAGAGGTTGTAGAACAGCAGATGAAGCAAATGGTAATATAATCCCAGTGCTCAGCAGACCTGTGGAAGAGCTGTGGCAGCGTGCATCCTCTCACTTACAGCTGGTGGATTTGAGAGTACTGAAGAGGGCATGAACACCTAGAGGTTCCGAAGGTTAGAGGAGTTAGACTATTAAGGCTGATATTTCCAATTTGCCTGGTAACAAATGAAATCAAGAATTGAATGAATGACCTGGTAAGTAAAAATGTATTTTGGAAGACTCACAGTAGCTTTTATAAAGAGAAGTCATCCTTTGAAGTCCATCTGAGTTCTTCAAAGGACTCATGAGAAAGTGGACAAAGGAGATCCACTTCATGTGATCCTCTACATGAATCCCCTCCACCAAAAAAATAACACGCAACTGATGGGATATATAAAAATATATATATTTTTATGTTTATATATAAAGCAGTCAAAGCTCTTGCTAAATTGCTGTTGGCTGAAGCAGATCATGAAAATTTACAAAGCAGAACGTAGGATAAATGATCTGTTGTGGCAGTGCAGGGCAGTTGTCGTTTGAAGCCTTTAAAATCTTTTAAGACCTGTACGGTTCTTTGTATTTGTAGAAGGTCTAAAAATTAGAATTTGTAAAGAAATGGTAATTTGCTGCATAAAATTTTAGATAGTAAAATGAGGAGAAACTACAAAAGACGAAGAGTCTTCTGAGTAACTGGGTGATAAGATAGCAGATAAAATTAATCTTAAAAGTAAATGAATGTGGATAATAATTGTGTATATGTATAGGCATATATAGAAACATAGATTATGGGCTTTGCAGTCTTCCAGCTGAGAATGGAATCTTGGCATTCCGGTACATAGTGCTACAGAATGGTTAGTTCCGCACTCAGAAATGATCAGAAAGAACATTGTTAAAAATTAATTGGAAAATGAGTAGAAGAAAGTACCATGCTAAAGACAGAATTTGCCTCAAATGGCCTCCCAAATTGTGTGGAAATTCTTTCTTAATCGTTTCTACCCATTATACTTGTGTGATTTCCACTTTGCGTTGTTGTCTGTGAGGAGCTGTGAAGTTTGGTAGAGCAATTGTGGAGAAATACCCAAATAAATCACAAATTCCAGAATGTGAAGTGGCGTGGAGATGGCTCTGTATGACGTAGATCTGGGCAGTAACCAGTAAAATGTTATTTATTAACTGTTGCCATCCATGCCAAGATGCAGGAGCTCTGTTGGGAAACAGTTGTGATTCTGTTATATTTTCCTAGCATGAAGTGACATTAATATTACACAGGCAGCTCTTCCTGCTTGGTTTTTGAACTCTGTCCTCTGAATGTTCTTTCTTGTGTTTATGTGGTAAGTGGTAGTCCATGGTAGTGTCTTGCAACGGTGATGATGGATTAAATAATTAAAGGTCTGAGATAAATAAACTTCATTAGGTGACAAGTATTTATTTCGCAAAAATAATGTGAAATTTGATGCTGAAAAGTCAGATGTTGCATTAGTTAAAATATCAGACGTAGCACACTTGCTGTGCAGGTGGAAGGAAGGCTGCACATTCTAGTGCTTCGTTTTGTAACTTCTGTTTTTTTGAGTGTATGTTTTCTTGTATGTGTGGAAATTGCTGACTTGATACATTTCCACTTACTTGAAATGATGTAGGAATTTAAAATGGACTATACTGCACCTTAAAGAACGCTGAAGGGCGAAGTTCCGTGTGGCTTGCGTAGCACTGCCGAAGTTCTACTCATTAGAGGGTTTCATCTCCCAACAAAGGAGATGTTTGTTCATCATCTCTTGTTTGTATGGGGTAACGGACATGCACATGGAAAACACCTCTTTTGTATTGCCTCGTGTAACGCGTCTTGCGGTTTGTTCAAATACAGCTGCAGCTCTGGTTGGATAACCCAAAGATTCAGCTGACGTTTGAGGCAACTATCCAACAACTAGAAGCACCTTACAACAGTAAGTCATGTCTTTTTCTTCCGAAACCATGCTGTACATAGCACTGCTATTCTTTTTCAGTTGTGGTTGGTGAAAAGCTGCTCAGAATCAAGAGAGGACTTCAGATGGGTCCTTTTGTTAGTGGAGCTCCGTAAGTGTTCATGGACAGAATGCTATGTTGCAGTATGTCCATAGTGGAGTTCATTTGTCTGGTAAAGAAATATATCCATAGTAGAATTCAAAAAAGCTGGTAAAAAGATGAGTTGTTACAAAAGTTTCTTGCGAGTGAATTCACTTACAGCTTTTAAGTTTTGCTACGACTTCGTGGTTTGCAGCTGCGAGGTTTTCTTAATCCTAAGGTTTTTGGGAGGCATTAAAAAGTGCTGGGATGAAAGAAGGCAGTAAAGGAGTGAGGAGTTACTGCTTGCAAATGTAGGCTGTTCCACCCTTCTCAGGAGAGATCCCAGTAAACTGAAAATGGCTGGAGGGGAGCCACAAAGAAAGAGGAATTAAAGAAAGTAATGCTGAAATTAATGCAGATACACTGTCAAGTAATGCAACTACTGTGTTTATAAAAATATAAATGAGAATCCAGTGCTCCAGTAGCAGGTGGGCTTAATACTGGCAAATTGCATTACAGTTCTGTGTAAAGATCTCCAGATTTCTGCAGTCAATTTCAGACTTGTCAGTATAGTAGGGAAAACAGCTTGTGGTTTCGAGAAAACTTGAACCTCAGCCTTCTTCAGGAAGATGGAGTCAACAAAGCAGCCAGGCGTCCAGAAAGGGATGCGTTCAGTGTGACTTTGCCGGGTTGCTGCTGTGACACATTTGCTTGTGGATATATTTTCAGTGCATACATACTGCTGGACGTACAGAATAATTTTAGAACATTACCATTTTTTAGGTGACACAGTGCTCGTTCACAGAGTACACAGCTATCTGGAGCGGCATGGTCTGATCAACTTTGGTATCTACAAACGAGTGAAGCCCCTTCCAAGTAAGAAACTTGAAAGTAGTTTCTAATTGGAGTTTTATTGTTCTTTGATTGTTAGGACAAATTTTTTGAGTGCTTCTTTTAGGGTTGCAATGCTGAGAAAATAAAAGTCTGGAAAGCCATCTGGCTATAGATGTTGATGTGTTTTGGCTTGGCACTGAGAAGCCGTAAATCACTTCGAGAGGGAAAATGTTTGCAGTGGCTGTCACTGTTTAATGAGTTGTTCTTGTTCCTCATTTGAATAACAAAAGACAAACACAATACTGTACTTAAATCTGTTACCTGTATATATGATGCTTGAATTCTGCAAGTGCTGAACTTTTTATCCTTCTGGGGCAGAAAGAAATAAAACTATGGTACTTTGTCCCCCAGTAATTAATGAATCGGGTCCTTCAAACAGTTGTCTTTCAGAAGTATTTTTCCTCTTGTTTTCGTCCTTGTCACAGATATACTACTGGTGTATTTTTCTTGTACCTGTCTCATTAAGAATTGTAAAGTGTTAAATTGTAAAAAGTACCGTATTACGTACACAATCACTTCAGTTTTCTTCTGTGGCTATTTATTTTGCTAAAAGAGTTTGTTCTGCTAGAACTACCGATGAGAAGAAAGCTGCTTTTTGTTCTTGGTATCTCTTAAATGCAACTTTAACCTGACTGCTTACAGCATAGTATTGCACATGTGGAGCCTGTAGCGTATTTTTCCCTTTCTTAGCCAAGAAGACTGGAAAGGTGATCATCATTGGCTCTGGTGTCTCTGGGTTGGCAGCAGCTCGCCAGTTGCAGAGTTTTGGAATGGATGTCACAGTACTGGAAGCCAGGGTATGATTTTTTGTTCTATTTTACTTCGTATATGGAAACTTAACCAGTAACCACGTCCGGTACTGGTGTAAGGCCAAGTATCCCAGCAGCATGCCCAAGATGGGTGAGCTTGTGTGTGGTTACGGATAGCTGGGATGTATTGCTGAGCACTAAACCTGTCTCGCTGGGGAAACGGGTGTATCTCTTCTCACTGGGAGCTGGCTAATGCTTTCTTGGGGTGGACTGTATAGCCAGGTGCTGGTGTCATATGCTTGCACCAGTAACAAGCTGAAATCTTTTCATGATTAGGAACTGATTTTTCACTGGAAAGCAGAACGCAAGTCTGTACTTAATAACTTGCCTGTTGAGTGGAGCCATTGTTCGGAATTGCCGTACAACATCAGGCAGGATATCTTTCCTGCATCTTTAAGTCTATGTTAATTCTTTCCTTGTTGATTACTGTGTGCTTGGCAGAGGCTTTAAAGTTATATAGAGCCAAATTTTGTGGTGTGTGAGCAAGCTGAGTGTTCTTCCAGTAATCTTTTATATAAGAAAAGTATTCTTTTATATCCAGCCCTAAGTGGAATCTTTTATTTTTTAAAAAAGTTGAAGTTTTTTTTCATATAATTGAATCAATTGAGAACAGCTTGATAGTAATTTAGAATAAATAATTCCGTTGACCAATTAAGTTGGAATTTGTCTTACGTTTTACTTCCTGGCTTTATTTTGTAGGTATATTTACTTCTGACAGTTTTCTAGCACAGTTTAAAATAATCTTCTGAAGTTTTTAGAGTCATGTTTCAGGTTCTTAATTTTGCTACCTACTGCTCTTGTTGCTGGGGAGCAAGCGCTGCTGGCGTGGTGCTTCACAGCTTCCATACCACTACAGCGAAGGACAGCAACAGTCTAATTGTTTACAAGTCTCTTGCTCACCTGAACGTACCAGTTTTATTTGTTTGGTTTGGCTTTTTTTTTTTTGTTTGTTTTGTTTTGGTTTGGTTTTTTCTTTTGTTTGGTTTTTTTTTGGTTTTTTTTTGTTTTTTGTTTAAGTTAAAAGAAAGAGATCTGTGCTGTAACTTGGGTTTTGTTCTATGCATCTTTGTTAAAACTGGTATGTAGATCTAGCAGGAGGCTATTTTAAAGTAACACAATATTTTTCAGTTGTTTTGCTCTAGACTGTTGCACCTCTTCTTGAGTAGTCTGTATTTTTTAAGGCTGGCTGGTGTTTCTTCACATTATGATTTCTGTGATTTAGGTGATAGTTTATTTGTGTCCATTTTCTGTGACTTTTAGACTATTAGTTTACATGTTTCCGAATTGTTGATTTAATTATTGAAAATTTAAACTTCACATTTTTACATGAATGGGCAGCTGTTTGGGATCTTTGCCCAATTGTAATTGACATTTCTCTCTGATACCATCCTGCTAGCTGGTCTGAGAATAGTGAAACAGCTTTTTATTTTCCTTATTAAGTTTAAAGTGGTAGGAAACTTAAGTGTCATCCTTAAGTCAGTCAAAAATTTTTTCCTGCTTCTAAAATGGGCTGTTGATTCGTGGTTATCTTGTTGATCAATATCTGGCACTTTTGTGGAAAGTAGATAGGAATAATTGGCTGATGGATTTTCTACCTCTAAAATTTAGTTTTCTCAAGGACATCTGAATCATTTCCTATATAGCTATTGGATTTTGTGATAGGAAGTGGGAGGAGGGTATGTAACTGAATCTATCCATGGACTATGAGGGATTGGTTTTCAAATCACAGTAGATCCTACAGTAGATATAGTTACATCTGTCCAAATCCGGTTAGGCATCTTTTTACTTTGTATTTCCTTTTTTTTTTCCTTTTTTTTTTTTTAAATGCAAATTAAACATCCTGTTCCTTAACTTAAAAGCAAATTAGTAAAGATCAAGTGTTCATTTGCAGAGGTTCTTGGAAAAATGTACATTCTATTTATTGAGCCTTTGGATAAGACAATACCCATACCATGTTCTGTAGAAGTTTCAGTGATTACATTTAAGTGAGATTTATTGCTGAATGTTACAAGAGCGTTAATGTATTGTGCTTTTAAAAGGACCGAGTAGGAGGAAGAGTTGCCACCTTTCGCAAAGGGAACTATGTTGCTGATCTAGGAGCCATGGTGGTGACAGGACTGGGTGAGTTTATCAAAATAAAAAGGAGCGGGGAAGAAAATTGTAGGACAAGGTGTCACAGATCTGAACCTTTGTGCTATTTCCTTTCATGGCCAAATTAATTGGGCATTTTTAACTGTTAAAAAAAAAAAACATGTTCTAGTTTAGCCTCTTTGGCAGTTGGCATTTTTCATCAGTGAATCTTCAGAACAGATGGCAGCCTGCACTAAAAGCTGGCATTTTTGTTGTTGCCATGGCTCTCATTGGTCACTGAAGTCGTACAGGTGCTTACCATGTCATGGAACTGTTGCACATCCATTCTTCTACAGTTTGCTCGTGCTTAGTGGAATTCTTTGCTCTTTCCTTGGCATGCTGCCCTTTTGTGTGTCTGTTCCTTTGCCCAGTTCGTTTAGGGTGGTATCTGCACTGGGTTCACTGCACTTGCTGAGCAAGTTTTTCTAAAGCTGCTTTACCTGCCTGGCAGTGGCCTCTGAGCTCAGGTCCGTGGACTGAATTTCATAGTAACTCCCTTAGTTATTTCCTTGGATCTTCCAAGGTGTAAGCTGAAATTAAACATGGAGAAGTAGGAAAGTAGTGAGGGGATTAGATTGAGTAGCTAAGAGCAAATAAATAGCAAAGATAAAAGATGGGAGAGACCCCACAGAAATTGAATGTTTTTTCTGTTACAAGGGAAAAAAAGGGAGGAGAGGGAACAAAGAGCAGACTCATTCTAAAGAGAAAGCCCTTTTTAAAGTCAGAATTTAAACTTCAAAAATCCTTTTTCTAAGTTATTTCAAAAATAATTATAAAAATAATGGCAAACAAGCCATATTTCTTCCTATTTAATGCTCGTTTATGGGATGGCATCAGTTACTGATACTGGTTACTGTACTAAGAAGATGGGCAGGCGTTTAGTGTGGAATAGCTTTCAGTGATGCATTTAAAAGATAAAATATTTTAAAACTTATAATAAAACCTAACTGAGTTTTATGGATGTCATGGGTTTGATGTAAAGGGGTTGTGGTGGCAGGAGAGGGGTTTGCTCCCTGTGACTTCCCTGGTTTCAGAACCCAGTCAGACCCGGCTCTGGCCACCAGATCGGACCCCCATCCCCTCAGGGCTGAATGAACCTTGAATGAAGCAGCATATGCTATGGAGAAAGAAAGATTCCTGTAGTGAAGGAGATTGTTTGAAGGATGTCCTTCATTTTTCTGAATCTGGAAGAGATGTGAGGAGAGAAGACGACTGAAGGGATTGACCTTGTGGGTTGAGAACGTGAAAGACTGAAGTTATGGGATCTTTTCTAGTTTTATTAGTAAACCATGGAAGAACTAAAATTTTTAGTAGGTCATAGAATCATAGAATGGTTTGGGTTGGAAGAGACCTCAAAGATCATCTAGTTCCAACCCCTCTGCCATGG